TGAATCAATAAAGTTAAAAGATGATTAACATATGAACATGAACCGGTACTCGGGTTTATTTTTGTCCGAATTAACCCGACCGGAAATGTCGGAAGGTGATTTTCAAGGCAAAGACCTCATATGTATATACTGTGTCATATATATTTACGCACGTATATTGTAGCAGAAATATAAGATGGAAATTACTATTTTGTGCCAATGAGACATAACCTGCTTTAAAATGAAACAAGTATCAAAAACATAACTTTTAAAGATATCCGACTCACAATACACTTTAATATATAGATAGTATTAGATTCTTTTCATGCTGGACACGAATGTCGAGCAGCTAAAAATAAGAACTGAGGACCCCAAGGATAATAAATCTTTTTACAAATCGATATACATCATTTTTGCATACAAATCTTGATTAACATGTAGCATTCATATGCTTATTTTCATCTTGCACATGAGGATTCCAAGATTCTCATGGCCTGCATGGTCACCTCGTAACATCGTTTACAAGCGAGACAGGATGCAGGACTTGTAAAAAGTTGAGAAAATCAAAATAAGGCACAATTATACTGTAATAAGATATTTCATATAAAATTAGTTACACGCGGTGCTCAGTAGTATAAAAGTACCTACGTACGTACGTGCGTAGAAAATCTGATAGTCTGTATTATCAAATTTTGAGTTTCTCTGGGGTCCATATAGTTTAACCGACGTAACGTTGGGGTGTTTAGTCAACTATGTAAATCATAACTATAAGAATTTTTTGAAGTTAGCGATCAGGATAGTGATCAGGATACTAAGCGGGATTATTTGTCACTTTTTATATATACATTAACCATATCGACGTTAACCAAAGATTGCTTGGCGATGTATTTCGTCAGTCGGTTATGTAAATCAAATTTATTATTAAGGAATTTTTTGAAGTTAACAGTTAATCACTTTTTATATATATATTTTAATAGTAAAAAATAACTTGCATATTTTTAGATGTCTGGAGTAAATCGCTTTACTTTTTTCAAACATTTTTGCATAAATCTATTTTTAAACACATTTATAACAAAGTTAAAAAACTTTATGTTCAAATATTAAATCTTTTATCTATAACGAAAATATCCTTCTTCAAATAGCTCATGATATGAAACAGAATTTTGGTAAAGCATCCATTTGAAATTTAGATACCAACGTTAAATTTCAACGTAAATTTGTCATAAACGTGTTTAAGAATAGATTTATTCTAAAATATTTGAAAAAGGTAAAACAATTCGCTCTAGACATCTAAAAACATACAAGTTATTCTTTCACTATCCTGACCACTAACTTCAAAAAAAAAATCCTTAATAATTAATTTTTATATGGTACCGCATAAAGTTCGATTTACATAGTTGACTGGACACTCAACTTAACGTGATGATTCACAAGTAATACACCCTAAGTGATGTCGGTTAAAATGACTGCCAGGATCACTGAACTTAAAGAAAAATAATGCCGATCATTCTACGAAAAAGTCAAAGATCAGATTTGCCGATACAAAACTGAGACAAAAATGTGTAATTATACGAGTTAACTATAACTATCGCTATATCAAAGTAATTGAAAAGTCTATTTTCCATAATGGCAATGATTTTCAAAAATTACAATAATTATTTTGGCAAATATCACTGGCGTCTAACTGAAATTAACCCTAAATTTGGAAATGCTATTTAGTCTTTAACAATTTTTCTAATTTTAAAAAGGTTTAAAATCTGATATAACTCAAGAAATTTAAAAAATTAAATAACCAAAAAATCGTGACTCAAAAATCGTAACTCAAAAATCGTAACTCACAAATTTATTTATGAAACTGCTTCCTGCGCAATAATAAAAGTTTTTTTTCTTGCATAATTTTGGTATTAGTACTGTTTTTTCTTTAAAGCTAATTAAGAGCAAAAATATTAATCCACCATAACTGCGAATATATATATTTTTAAATCGGTTGTCATACACTGCTAAACTCAGTTGTACTTATCAATACCGTCCTTGCTAATTTTGACCAGTGATCTGTATAAGTAAATCAAGTTAATCTTACAATTGCTGTTTTCGATTCATAGTAATACAGTAATATAAGGATGAAATACCATTATCACACTAATTCAAGATAGCGATAGTACCAACATGACCAAATTTTTAATAAGTCGATCCCGATATAATATATATATATATTTCAAAGTTTTTTTTTTACTTGATACCGCTCAAATTATTTCACTGAAATCATGATTCAATATTTTATTTATTTATTAATTCTAATAAATGCATTTTCTATGACAACGTCTAGAGATATACCAATATTTTGTTATCTCAATGATACTCAGTACTATTATGGTGTCCCATTTGATATGACATCAGAACCTCCAGTTCCTACTGCTGGAACAAATATCACACTTAATTTTACTAATGAAATGTGGTGTGATATTGATACAGAATCTAGACTTGATATTTTATTGGTATCTGGATCCATAAAGTATTGGTATAGTCATACGATTTGTATTAACAATTTGTGTCCAATTCCAACTGGAAAGACATTTACAATATTAGTGGAATTTAAAATACCAGAAGAGTTGGGAACGAATTTTCAATTTTATCCTTACCTTTACAAATTAAATGAAAATGGTACATTAACTTATGCATGTTCATGTTATTCGTCGGTAACTACGGAATATTGCTTTGATTGGGCGAAACCCGGGTGAATACTGGTCCAAACACGTACACAATATTGGGTTTTATACAGGTGTTTTAGTAATAATCTCCTGAGAATATTATTTTGTTCTTGCTTTATTATTTTTAATCTTTTATATGGCTTAAATTAATTTATTTCCTTAACTAATATATAAACCCACATACTGTATTTCAAAAATAAGTAGTTATAAATATCAAATGTATTAAGAATCCCTTGTTAGATATTATATTTATACTTTTTAAAAAAGCTTTTTTTAAATTAAGTCATACATACTTATATTTTCGATTTTCATATCCCGGCCGTGTCAGCAAACCGGCAATTCAAATTTTTATTTTTTTACACCATTTCATATTTCTGGGACACCTGACAAAAAATGATGTTTCGGTTAAGTTATTGATTTCGGCATAATAGATTCAATATGAATTTAAGATCAGGTGACTAATATAAAATCCCTATAAAATTTTCGTCCGAACAGGGTTTATTCTTATACTATTATTCTTATACTGTTTTCATTACGGGACGTCGAAATGGAGAATGTTTAATTAAATGTTTATCGTACAAAAAAGGTATAATATCCAATAAAGATCCTGTAAATATTCAATACGGAGTCGATTTGCCAAACAAAAAATCGGATAATTTCTGAATGATTCCAAGGATTTTTTTTTATAGGTAAAGGCTCAGGTTCATCAGGATTAGTAAGGTCTTGTGAATTGTTAGATGGTATCTGTTGAGTTTGTTGGTAGA